GGTACTGATTCTTTGTGTTCACTTGGGCACATCCTTTTGTCCTCCTAGTTCTCTGTCTCTCCATCTAGGACACAGAGAATCACATTTCATTCTTGGCCCTGAGCATATATAGATAAGGGATCATGGGAAGTGATCCCTTTAGTGCTTAGCCAGTGACTGCGTATGGATGTCTTTCCATTGCTGTTTCATTGATAAGCTTGTTGACTTTCAAAGGTTTATAGTAACAGATAGTACAGATTTTGTAGATCGAATCAAAGAGGTGTGCTGTGTCCCAGAGGCTCTTAGAAGTCCTAAATCAAGAGCCATGAGGGATACAACTGCTGGTTGCCTCAGGCCTGCTGTTGTGTGCAGATGACACTGTCTGTGAGTGTCCACATCATCTCTCCAAGCACGGCATATCTGTCTCCACATTCAGATTTGCTTGCTTTATCAGGTCACAGTTGCTTTAGGCTCACCCCGATGTCCTATTTTATCACTTTCTGTAAAACCTGTGTGTGTGTGTGTGTGTGTGTGTGTGTGTGTGTGTGTGTGAGAATTCTGAGGCTGGAAAAAGTGGGTATCTTTCTCTCTAGCTCTCCCCCACTTATTTTCTTAAAAGAGGGTCTCTAAAACTGGAGCTCCTCTATTTCTCCCCTCATTCCTCTCCACCCACACCCCGAGCTCCCACTTTGTTCAGGGGTTCTTGTCCCCGTCCCCTTCTTTGAGGGACTATGCAATCTTCTCTTGGGGTCCTCCTTGTTTCCTAGCTCCTCTGGCAGTGTGGATTGTAGACTGGCAATCCTTTACTCTATGTCCAAAATCATATATGAGTGAGTACATACCATGTTTATCTTTTTGTGACTGGGTTACCTCACTCAGGATGGTTTCTTCTAGTTCCATCCATTTGCCTGTGATTTTCAAGATTCCATTGTTTTATTCTTCTGAGTAGTACTCCATTGTGTAAATGGGCCACATTTTCTCTATCCATTCTTCAGTTGAGGGGCATCTAGGTTGCTTCCCAGGTTCTGGCTATTACAAATAATGCTGCTATGAACATAGTAGATCATATGTCCTTGTTGTATGAATGTGCATTCTTTGGGTATATGCCCAAGAGAGGAATTGCTGGATCTTGAGGTAGGCTGATACCCATTTTCCTGAGAAACTGCCATACTGGTTTTCAAAGTGGTTGTACAAGTTTGCACTTCCACCAGCAATGGAGGAGTGTTCCTCTTTCTCCACATCCTCTCCAGCATAGACTGTCATTGGTGTCATTGATTTTAGCTATTCTGATAGGAGTAAGATAGTATATCAGAGTGGTTTTGAGTTGTATTTCCCTGATGGCTAAGGATGTTGAGAACTTTCTCAAGTGTCTTTCAGCCATTTTAGATTCCTCTGTTGAGAATTATTCTCTATTTAGTTCTGTCCTCTACTTTTTAATTGCATTGTTTGTTGTTTTGGTGGCTAGCTTCTTGAGTTCATTGTATATTTTGGTCATCAGTCCTCTGTCAGATGTGGAGTTGGTGAATATCTTTTCCCATTCTGTGGGCTGGTGTTTTGTGTTGTTGACTGTGTCCTTTGCTTTACAGAAGCTTCTCAGTTTCAGGAGGTCTCATTTATTAATTGTCGATCTCAATGTTTGTGCTATTGGTGTTATTTTCAGAGGAGGGCAAGAAAGGAGATGTCTTGTTAGAGGGAGACAGTACAGGTATGGAGAGAGGTCTGGCACAGGGGAAATGTTGGGGGATCCACAGGGATGACCCCAACTAAGAATCCAAGCATTGTGGAGAAAATGCCATTCCTCTATAATGAGATTGGTGTCTACCTTGGTTGCCATTCCTAGAGCCTTCATCCAGTAGCTGTTCGAAGCAGAAACAGGCACCCACAGCTAAGTACTGAACCACACTACTGGAATCCAGTTGTGGAGAGGGAGGAGGGATGAGCAAAGGAGAAACCTGCAGAAGCAGTTGACCTGACCTAGTGAGAGCATGGAGACCCTAGTCATAAAGCTTCGGAAACAGCACTGGACCGAACCAAGCCCTCTGAATGTGGTTGCCAGCTTATGGGACCTCTAACAGCGGAGCCAGTCTTTAACCCTAGAGCACAAATGGACTTTGGGAGCCCATTCCCTATGGAGGGATACTATTGCAGCCCAGATACAGCAAGGAGGGCCTACGCCCTCCCCCAAATGATATGACAGACTTTGAAGGTTCCTGGTGGAGGGCCTCACTGTCTTGGGGAGGAGTTTGGGGGTGGGCTGGCGGGGGTTGGTGGGGAACATGGAAGGATGGGAGGGTGAGGGAATGGGGGGATGGATATGTATATATGAGTAGTAATTAAATAATTTAAATAAAAAATAAAAAGAAAAACAAACAAAAAAACTGGAGCTCACATGTCAGTTTAATTTTCTGGTAGGCTAAAGGCCAGTAAGTCCAAGAAGCCTCCTGTTTTCTTGACACCCAGGATCATCCTGCGCATTTGAACTCATGTCTTTATACACCAAGCATTAACTCACTGATCTGTCTTCCCAGTGTCAGACTCCATTCTTAATGAGATTACACTCTGAAATCCTGAGGGTCAGAGTTGAATTTATCTTTTGTTTAGGAAGCGATTTAACCCACAGTGTTGCAAATGACTCTATAAAATGTTATGTTGCAATAAAATAAAATAAGGTAGCTTGCCATTTCTCAATGAGATAGAAGCTTCAGGAAATACTAAAAACACTTGACAGTGCGGACTTTTTGCTTCATTGCACTTGACATTCACAGCTGTTCGTTTAGCCAGCTCCGGTTGAGTGGGGTTAGTTTTGACAAAGACCTGTTTCTTTCCACAGAGAAAGTCCCAGAATCTTTACCCAAAGTGGTATTTCCCACATATGCTTTTCGAATTGAAACTCTTTCCTTCCTGGCTCATGACATTTTTGTGGGGCCTCCAGAATGGAAACAACCCAGCAGATCTTAGGCAGTTGGCACACCATCTCCACGTGACAGCATGCTGCAAATGCCCCTACTGTTTATGTGTGATGTATTGTCCTGCTAGGGTTCCTCAATGCATGCAATAAAAACAGATTTAGAATATTGATCTGACATGATCCAGGCCAGCCTGGTCCAATAGAAGTTTATTCATTGCAGGTGGTGAAAATTCTTCAAGAGTAGAGTGAGAGTCATTCTTTTAAGTATTTCTTGCTGTTCCTTTAGCACCATTGCTCCAAGTCCCCTGGATTGGTAGTGGTGCTAATGAAAAATGAAATTTCCAGACCTGATTTCCACACTACATTTCAGTGTCTTTTGAGGGACAGGTCCTAGGATTCCACTTCTAATGGGCCACCTAATTGGTTCCCAGAAATTCACTCTATTTTGGAGAACAAGTGTTTTTTATCATCCTCCGAGGAAAACATGCATTGTATCGTTGGGGTTACATGATTCCCAGAGCGTGCGTCTGTCCAAGGCTGAAGGTAGGGAGATCCAGGTGGCATTTGTAGGGTAGAGGGCCTAGAGATGGGCTGTGGGCAGGAGAGGCACCTATCAGCTGTGGCAAGGGAAGTGTGTGCCGCCTAGTGTGAGGTGACATCTGCTGACCATGGTAAAAGACAGTGGGTTTTAAGTATGGATGGAAGCCTAGTAAGGGTTGATGGCTGTGAATTTATTGGCAGGTGGGCTGAATTGAGGAATAAGTTTCTGTCATCTCTAATGGGAAGAAATCTGAGTATTTTTCTCAGTCAGAAAATCTGGCTCCTGGGCACAGCCGGAGTAGAGAATGGCTGAGGGAGGGGTCTACCCTGTACTGCTGAGGGCCTGCTCAGTGAGGTGGGGCCTCCAGCCTACTTGGGGAGCTATGCAAAAATTCAGATTTGTGTTGTTCAATCAGCCTTTCTGTGAGCTCTGGGGACTGCATTTTCAAAGTCCCCATGTGGTCTAATGTGTCAGTCACCCAGGACAGCCTTAAGAACTGTGGACCTTGCAGTGAATCCTAGCTTTGTGGCCCCCTTGTTTCTGTTACTAACCTTCTCTGAGCTACACTTGCTTTATCCATTAAATGAAATAGTCCTGTTCTCCACACTCTTCCCTCCATTGTCATCCCCTCTTTCTTTCCTTACTCTTCCCTGCCTCCTCTAGTTCTCAGGTTGGAGCTCGTTTTCAGGCCACATTTGGGTACATGGTACACATCATCCAATGATGGTTCAAACCTTGAGAGACTTGAGATTCTTGAAGAATCTTGGATGTTGGACTCAACAGAGGGACCCAGTGATTAGAACTGGGTTATATATAAGACAGTCTCTTGGCCCTAGACAATGCTGGTTCCTGGTTTTCCATAGCTAGAACTAGGAAAATAATATTGCCTGAAAGGATATTGACACTCAGGCTGGGTTCTTGGAATATAATCTTATGCATTAACTACTAATGTTCTTGCTTTGCCCACAAGAGCACTGAGGCTTGGAAAGAGGTGTGTATGGTCACGCCTGTGATGCATTAGAGTCATGTCTCATGAAAATCCAGGAAACGTGCTCTGGGTCTCAGACTCTCTGTTCTTGCCATTTGAATCAAGTGTAAGGTTAGAGTGGCCTTTAGCCACAGTGCTGATCTCAAAAGGGAGATGGGCTTCCGAGAAAGCTCTAGGATATTTCTGTGCTTTACATTTTAGAGGTAAAATGGTACAGTTACTTCACAATGAAGTTGAAAAGCATGCATTTCCACAACAGAAAGTGACCTGTAGGAGACTGCAACTGTTGCCAAAGCTTGACATGTTCAAAGGAAACCCTTAACACAAAATTGCCTTGTGCTGGAAATCCCTTGACCACTTCCTATTGCATTCCTTCGTAAGATCTGATCTTTGACCTTCACCCAGTTATTCAGAACTCAAAGGGCTCTCCGGACAAGGTTTTCCTTCACCAGCCTCACTGATTCAATCCTCATTTAGCTCATGTGAATTTGAATGTGTGGGTAGTAAATACATTCATTTAATTCAGAGATCATGTCAGGATCTCTGCCTTTTGTAACTATTCCATTTCTTCTCTCTATTCCCAGGGCATAACCTCCAGGAGAAGGACAAATCACCACAGCCAGCAAGCTGCCAAGTGCTGCCCCCACCTTGTCAAAGAGAGCAACTGGACCCGTTTTTAATCAGCACCAGCCTCTGGGTCACAGAAGGAGAACAGGCCAGAGTCTGAAACTTTCCAAAGACATTTAACATACACTGAGTGCGCAAGGCCACTTAGATTGCCTTTGTATGAATCTGGTTGATTTGAGAAACAAATTAAAAAGGTTCCACTTTCACTGAAGACTTCACATGGACATACTCTCCATTTCAACCATATTATAGATGATGGTTTTTGGAACAGCCCAAGCATTTATCACTGAGCAAGAGATATAGCTTGAGAGGCTATCAGAACATCCCAGAACCAAGGAATGGATGACTACAGGTATCGGGACAACTATGAGGGTTATGCCCCCAGTGATGGCTACTACCGGGGCAATGAGTCAAACCCGGAAGAAGATGCCCAGAGTGATGTTACAGAAGGCCATGATGAGGAAGATGAGATCTATGAGGGCGAGTACCAGGGCATCCCTCATCCAGATGATGTCAAGTCCAAGCAGGCTAAGATGGCCCCCTCCAGAGCAGACGGCCTTCGGGGCCAGGCAGACATGATGGCTGAGAGGATGGAAGACGAGGAGCAGTTGGCCCACCAATATGAGACCATCATTGATGAGTGTGGTCATGGGCGTTTCCAGTGGACCCTCTTTTTTGTCTTGGGTTTGGCCTTGATGGCTGATGGAGTGGAAGTGTTTGTGGTGAGCTTTGCCCTGCCCAGTGCAGAGAAAGACATGTGTCTGTCCAGTTCCAAGAAAGGAATGCTTGGTAAGTAGAAACTTCCAAAGGTCATTTTCCTTGTGGCATCAAATACATGAAAGCAAAGGAGAATACATATATATTATACTTATTATATTATATACATATATAATACACTTATTATGTATGTATGTATGTATGTATGCATATGCACACATACACACAATATATATCCTGTCACTGTTAGATACCTTAAATATGCCATGGTGTCCTGCAAAGTTATAATTTCATAGTCATTTACCCCTAAGGTGTTATTGTCTTATAGAAATAAATTAATCAATTGATTGGCTCAAACTTACATAGCTAGTATCAGAGCTTGCTTTTTTATTCAAATCTGTTTGATTCTTAGCTCTTTCTTTGCTCACCAAATCTTGCTTTCTTGAATGCCAGACTATTTACCTATTAAACATCTTCTGTAACCAAGTAAGAATACATTTTGGAAGGGGTAAGTCAGAAGTCTCTTCCATCATTCCTTCTTTATGTGTCTTTCCAGAATGCAATGGCTCTGATCCCAGATTCTCTTGCACTAAGAGTGAGTGGCTGAGTGCCCATGTGCCTTTGGTAACTGATGGGCTGGAACATACCCACAGAGTCCCCGTGGGCAGTTGAGAACCATGGTGTGAAGCACAGATGGATTCTGAAGGATGGATGACCAGTTTGCAAGTCAGTTAGCAGACCAGCACTGGCAGAGCCTAGCCTCAGCCATCAGAGCTTCAGGCAGAGAGGATTTTGTGAAGTTAGAGAGTGCATGGGCACAAATGGTGTAGAATAGAATAGATTCATCATAATATAGCTAATGGCTTGTCTCAATCCCCAGCTGTCCTGAAGAAGACATATCTAGTCTCTAAATTTAGTGGCCATATAGAGCCCAGGAAGCATGCAGCTATTGAGGACTTACTGTGAGTCAATTTCTCATTCAAGATGAAAAATACTTATGGCCCTCAGGAGTTCAAATTCTGTTCAGCCACCAAACTCATCAATTCAACAAATATATCTTCATGAACCCAGAATGACTTAATAACTTTAGGAAACTTTAGAGTGTGCCTGTGTCATTCTAGACCTTGAATTTGGTGACAGAGTTAGCAAACATTTCTGAAAAGACTGAGAGAGTAAACATCTTCATGACTTAATAACTTTAGGAAACTTTAAAGTGTGCCTGTGTCATTCTAGACCTTGAATTTGGCGACAGAGTTAGCAAACATTTCTGAAAAGACTGAGAGAGTAAACATCTTCAAAGCCCAGATGGCCTCTGTCACAACTATCCAAATCCACTGCTATAATCAAAATCATCCAGAGACAATAAGCAAACAAATGGATGTGACTGCACTCAGGAGGTGGGAGCAGGAGGACCATGAACTTGAGGGCAGCCTGTATTGTTTAGTGAGACTCTCACAAAATCTGAAAAAAACTAAAGATGTTTATACAGAGAAATATGAAGAATTATCATGAAGAAACAAAACAGCAGCAACCAAAACTCCAAAACTAGCCAAACAAAAAGAATTGACTCTGGCCATTAAAACTTATCTTACATGTTTATGCTTAGCTATAATGCCATTTAAAATGATTAGAACTGCATGAGACATGACCAGGAAAATCAAAGGAGGCTGAGTGTATACAACTAGTCAGTATATCTAAAGGGAAAAATGCTTTGGAAAGCTGGGAAAACATTTAGCTTTTAGAAGCCAGTAGAATTTTAGCTGTGTGTGCTATTCATTTGTGTGCTATTCATGTGCATGTGTGTGTCTGTCCACACATGCACATACACACTACCCAAACTTAAATGTGTCAAACATTATATTTTTAATAATTCATTTATTTGTATTTATGTTCATGGTGTCTTGCCTGAATGTATATCTGCATGTGTCAGACATCCTGGAACTAGGGTTTCAGACAGTTGTGAGATGCCATGTGGATGCTGGGATTTGAACCTGGGTCTTCTGGAAGAGCAACTAGTGCTGAAGCATCTTTCCAACCCTGAATAGTTGATTTTTAAAAGGGCAAACAAAAGAACAAAATTCCTAACCAAAATCAGTCCTAACTGACTTAAGCATTTTGAAGCCATCAACTTGTTTTGTGCTGTTCCCAACTGAAACCCAAGTCCCTGTTTATTCTGGCGATGTCAATAATGGTTTAATGCCCATCAGTCTCTCTGGCACCACAGTGCCCAGAAAGCTCATTAGCAGAACTGCAGTATCAAGGCAGCTCCAGCCTTTTCCAGGGCCAATGCTGGTCAGGAGCTGAGGGAATGTGGCTATGATCTGGAGAGCCCACGCTGGTGTAATTTTGCCCCATGTTTACCAAAAAGATGCTATGACTCAAACTGAGAAGGGCACATAGTCCCTGAGAAGAGATTCCCACAGGAACCACTTAGATGTGAGTCTAAGTGAATCCAGGTAGATGGATGACTGAGAGTATCAGAGTTGCCTTGAAGGCTAGTCACATGAAGAAACAGACTGAGAGCCTTACCTGAGTAAGTGCTAAGCAGAATGCGATGACAGTCTTTGAAGTCTGTGCTCATTCTTTTATACCATCCTGCCTTTTCCGTATACATAGGTTGTGGGAAAGAAGCCACGCCCCAGAGCAGGCTTCTCTCCATATGGGATCATGCTACAGTGGAGAATAACTTGAGCGCTGATGTTTCACCATGAGAGCTTGGCAGCTAGCTTTATCATCAGTTAGTGACCTAGGGCAAGCTCTAAATCCTGCAACTCAGTTTTCCTGAGGAATAAGGAAGAATAATGACACATTTGTTGTGAGGACTGAGATAATGCAGACAGAGCAACAGTATGGATGCTATCTAAATATCTCAGATCCCTTTTTTGTGTCATGCCACCATCCTGCCAGCATTGCCATGGATCTTGACTGCACTGACATAATGGGGCAGCATGGAAGTCAGGGCTTGGTTAGAAGTAACACTCTGCTGACTCTTAGTGGGGCAACCTCAGGCAAGTTACTCAGTTGCTTTGTGCCCTGGCTCCCTGTCCTGTAAAATGTGTTTGATGGTAATGCTTGTTCCATAAGATTTCTGTGTAGATGGACTGAATTCAACAGTACTGGATTTAATGTAGTTCAACTAGCTGATTTATTGTCAGTGCCTCACAGGTGCTCAAGGTATCATTATTGCTTTTAATTGGTTATTATTATTACTAGTAACTCAATTGTTTGGTAGCAATGAGCCACTCACACTCAGGGCCAGATTTGCACTGATGACTTTGTATGTATCCTTCAGCCAAAATGATGCCTAGTGAGCCCTTAAGGTCAAGCTGTTTGACCTTGCTGGGGGAGACCTTTGTGTTCCAACATTAAACCAGAGCTCTCTCTCTCTCTCTCTCTCTCTCTCTCTCTCTCTCTCTCTCCCATTTGTATACTGTTCTCACAAGTGAAGCCTCTAGCTTTACTCTCAGTGGCCAAGAAAATAACACAGAGAACAATAAAGGTCTAACCCATAGATCATTCTTATTTTCTTGCTGGAAAGAAATGAATCAGTTCAGAAAAATTAAAGATACTCTCTTGGTGTCTTAGTTGTTTCTCTTGAGCCTTGTGTTTTAGTGAGCCCCTCACAAACGTCTGCCTCACCGGGTAGAAAATAGGTTTGGGAACATATGGCCAACACTGAAGGCTCAGCCATGCTTCTATCCAGTGGCAGTCACCTTTAAGACAAGTAGAATGCAAGAATGCATCTACTTGTTAATTAAGCATGTCCTTCATTCTTTTAATTATCTATTTCTTTTATTTTTCCATGAGTGTGTGCACACATGTGTGTAGGTTCCACATACATGTGTGCATCCATGCTTTTGGAGGCTCAAAGTTTATTTGAGGTGTCCCCCTTGATCTCTCTCCATTTTACTGTTGAATCATGGCCTTGGAGCTCACCATTTCTGGCTAGTCTAGCTAGCCAACTTGTGCTGGGAATCTCCTGTCTGTGCCTCCCAAGTACTGGGACTCAGGTGGTTGCATGGCTGCCCAGCTTTGACATGCTTTCTGGGGGTCTGAATTCCAGTTCACATGCGTTTCTTTACCCATTGAGCCCTTGGCTCATTCCTTTTCCAATTTTTTTTTAAAAAGGAGCAGCATGGTTGGCTCAGTGGATAGGAATACCTACTGCTTTGTAGGGAACCCAAGTTCATTTCCTAGCGTCTATGTGGCATTACACAATCATCTGTACCCCAATTCCAGGGGATCTGGCACCCTTTTCTGGACTTGCTGGGCACCAAGAATGCAAGGTGGTGCATTCATGTACATGCAAGCACCATACTCACACATGTAAAAGGAAAACACTCTCTTAAAGTTTTGTAGAAAGGTTTTTGGCAATTGCCATTCATTGAACCCAAGTACTAGAAACTGTAAGCATGTGTTCCACTCTGAGCTCCAGCCCTTCTCTTTCTTTCATTCTTTTTTCTAAATTTAAATTTTTTTTGGTAATAGGGTCTCATATAGCTCAGTTTAGTTTGAAACTTGTCATATAGCCAAGGATAGCCTTGAAACTTGTCATATAGCCAAAGATAGCTGTGAATCTCTGGTTCTTCTGCCTCTGCCTCCCACACACTGGGGATATGGACATGTGTCTCCATGCCTCACATGTGATTATTTAAAGATGTTTTATTTTTAATTATGCTCATGCCAGTGGGTATGCACATGTGAGTGTTACGTCTGTGGAGGCCAGAAGAAAACATCAGGTCCCTGGGAATGGAGTTACACATGGTTATGAGTTGCCCAATTTAAGTTCTGAAACTCAGTTCTAAAGAAGAACACCAAAAGCTCTTAGCCACTGAGCCATTACTCTACCCCTCCCTTTATTCATTAAAAAATGTTGAACATTAGTATGTGCCTGTTGCATTTCTGGTTGAAGCAGACACAGTGTTAGCATTCTGAGCATTTTATTCTTATAAAAGAAATCAGAAAATATGTGAAATACAGACTAACAGTATAACACAGTTGTACAGTGCAGTGTTCACTGGTGTCACCTTCAGCGGCTAGGAAAAAAAAACAAAAAAAACAAAAAACAGTTT